CCTCAACACCTCCAACTGTGGGTGTGGCCATTGGCGGGCCTGAGCTGCAGCTGATCGGTGTCACCGATCCTGTTTGGTAAACACTTTTGAATGCCAGAGCGGCCTCCACTCGCCGGCAGTATAAGAACAGGTGGAAGTTGTTTTCTCACTGGTGTTCTGCCCGCGGTGAGAATCCTGTGTCTTGTTCGGTGCCTGTTGTCCTGGAGTTCCTCCAGTCTCTCCTGGAAATGGACGGTCTCCATCCACTCTGAAGGTGTATGTTGCTGCTATATCCTGTCATCCCTGGTTTGGTTGGAAGCTGTACAGTTGGGAGCCATAACTTGGTCTCTCTTTTTCTTCAAGGTGCCCGCAGGTTGTGCCTACCAACTACACCTCGAGCTCCAGTGTGGGACTTATCATTAGTCTTGGAGTCTCTCTGTGGCCCTCCATTTGAGCCTTTGGCCCAGGCAAACCTTAAGTGGCTTTCATGTAAGACTGCATTTTTATTGGCTATTGTGTCGGCGAAACGGGTCAGTGAGCTACATGCCCTTTCTGTCAGTCCTTCCCGTCTCAGGTGGAGTCCGGGTAATTCTGGTGTTACCCTGTGGCCAAATGCAGCGTTTCTACCGAAGGTGTTGTCCCGTTCACACTGTAACAAACCTTTGACTTTGGCTCGGTTTAAGCCCCCGCTTGGAGAGGGCAGAGACAAGCTGCAGTTGTTATGCCCAGTGCGGGCACTGGAAGCCTATACTGCAGCCACAGCAGGTAGGAGGCGTTCAGACCAGCTGTTTCTATGTTACGGAGTGGCTAAGAAGGGCTGTCCTCTTTCCAGGCAGCGCCTTTCACACTGGGTGGTTGAGACTATTCACCATGTCTACAGGTCACGGGCCGCAACCCTCCAACTGACGTGAGGGCCCATTCTACTCGAGGAATCTCCACTTCATGGGCAGTTATGAGATTTAACATAAATTATCAATTCGTACACTTAAGGAACAAATAAAAAGTAAATTGAGAGAGTTGTAATGTTCCAAGGTGAATTTATTTATAACTCTGCATAGATATAAAACCTGACTGTCTCTACGTCAGTCCCCAGTCTGAGACAATGCAATGAGGACACAGCATTTATCATAAATATCATCTGATTATTATGTTCCTCTGTTGGGCTGTACATGGGCTGGATGATAAGATCCATTGTGTGAATATATAGATGTGTATATAACACATCAGGCTGTTGTTGTGTCTTTGGGCAAGACACTTAACCCAGCTCGCCCCCAGTGTCTGTGTACACTGGTTTGTGAATGTGTGTGTGAGTGGTTCCTTGTTGTAAAGCTCTTTGAGAGCCTTGAAGGTGGAAAAGCGCTGTAGAAAAATGTGACCATTTACCTCCACTATGTCTGGTTGGTCCATCTCCATCCTGTCAGTCTGTATCTGAAGTCCCACAGGATCTTGGCTCAGTCGTTCTCCACAACCTTTGGAGGTGTTTCCCACCTTGATCCTGGGGTCTCCAGTTCGTACTCTGCACAGATGTTTCTGTGACTGTGGCTCCACTTGGTTCTGTGGCTCCATGTTTGTTTCCCTGCAGCATCTGACACCTGCAGTTCTGTGCTGGACTGTCTCAGGAGCCTCTTTGCACAGTCGACACCATGGGTCTTGTCTGGTGTGGTAGATCTGGGTCTCTATTGCTCGAGTGCTCAGGTCCTGCTCCTGAGCTCCAGGATCAGTGCCTCTGTGTGTCCTTCAGACCCTCTCAAGACATTGGGAGGATTTCTTGATATCAGCCTCTTCAGTTCTGTTCCGGTGGTTCATGTTGGGGTTTGTCCTGCCATGATGGTCCCTCCAGCTCCTCTTCCTCTGGACCCCACTGTCTGAGACATTCTCTGAGCTCCTCATCTGCCGGGGCCTTGTCCTTGATGTCCTCAAGGAGCTTGGATGTTTCATCCTGGACAGTGGTTCCCACACTCACTAGTCCTCGGCCTCCTTCCTTCTGGCTCGTGTACAGTCTCAGGGTGCTGGATTTGGGATGGAACCCTCCACATGTTCAGGAGCTTTCGTGTCTTAACATCTGTGGTCTGTATCTCCTCCTTTGGCCAGCTTACAATCCCTTCAGGGATCTGATCACTGACAAGGCCGAGCTGTTGATTGCCTGCACCTTGTTCTTGCCATTGAGCTGCTTCTTAGGACTTGTCTCATTCTTTGCAGGTATTTGGCCATAGCCGCTTTCCTTGTTGCCTCTTCAAGGAGCCATTTGCTTGTGGGATACCAAGGTACTTGTAACTGTCCTCAACGTCTGCTATTGTTCCCTCTGGGAGTGACACCCCCTCTGTGTGGACTACCTTCCTTCTCTGTGTACATTTTTCAAGCTCGAATGACATTCCAATGTCTGTGCTGTAGATCCTGGTGGTGTGGATCAGTGAGTCGATGTCTCGCTCACTCTTAGCGTACAGCTTGATGTCGTCCATGTAGAGGAGGTGATGGTGTCTCGTTTCTGAGTCGTATCCGTAGTCAGTGCGGTCGATTATTTGGCTGAGGGGGTTCAGGCCTATGCAGAACAGCAGTGGGGACAGTGAGTCTCCTTGGTATATGCCACATTTGATGGACACTTGTGCAAGTGGCTTCCCATTGGCTTCAAGGGTGTTTTTCCACAACCGCATCGAGTTCGCAATGAACGCCCTTAGAGTCCTGTTGATACTGTACAGCTCCAAGCACTCAGTGATCCATGTGTGGTATTGAGTTAGAGCATTTCTTGTAATCAATCCAGGCAGTGCACAAATTGGCGGCTAGAGCCTTTGTTTGGCAGTTTCGAGTGCTTCAGGTCGGGCATCTGGCTGTTCCTCTTGGGCACTTTCTTTTTCATTGCACCTTTCTGGGCCTCTGACAGTTGGTTCACTTCTCTCCTCGCCTCCTTTGATTTTAGCTCTCTAACCGTCTTTTCCATGGTGGGTATTGTATCGCATGGCTCCATTGTTGCTCTTATAGCCCAACACATCTAGGATCACTGCTGCTGAAGTGTATATCAGCTCATTGGTTTCAGTGATTGTTGTGGTAGGGATCACTGTCAGTGCTGCATTCACATCGTCTAGGAGACTTTCAGATGGTACTTCACTTAGCCTCTGTAACTGGCATCGGGTTTGCCTTGTGTTCATTCGGGCCATGATCTTATCTTTCAGGTCAGTCGCTGCCTCGCTCAGCGTGATACTTATTGGGGTTTGTACCCAGTCTCTGGTTGGGGAGTTGGTGTCAACTCTCCTCTGACCTGGCGTCCTGGCTCCTCTTTGCTGTAGCATTTGTGTTGTACCTCATCAGTCTCTAGTTGTGATGCAGTTGCCGTTTGTGGATGTTGGAACACTGAGCTACTAGTTGTTTGGTCGTTAGCTTGGACTGTTGGTACGATACCCACAGTAACCATTTCTCCCACATCCTGTTCATGTTATAATAATAATAATGCATCAGTTTTATATAAGGCTGTTTTGGACACTCAAAGAAGTTTTACAGAGATTTATTCATTTACTCCACAAGCTACTACTGTAGCCACAGCTGCCCTGGGGCAGGCTGATGGAAGCGAGGCTGCCAATCTGTGCCCTACCTCCGACCACACCACCACTCACACGCACACCACTTTCATACTAGGCAATGTGGGTGAAGTGTCTTGCCTAAGGACACAACAACAATTTTTTTTTACGACTGGTGCCCTCCTGTGGCTCCTGATTTTTCCAATGTTTCCCATCCAAGTACTAATCTTCTCGAGACTCCAGGTTGAGGTCTTCAGGAAGCCCACAAACACAGACCAGAACCTGCTTTTGGTTGGTTTGGTAACTTGGAGTTATTCGGACACTACATCACAGGGCTCAAGTGGTGCCTACAAGCACAGATGGAAAGGAGAAAGAAGAACAACATGTGCAGAAAGTCCTCTGATTGTGGAGATCCAAAATGGGCCTTCAACAAAACCAAGAGAACTAAAAAAAAAACAGGACAACAGAGAATCAGAACTATTCCTTATATGGCTGGTGTTTCTGAAAAACTACAGCGGATTTTCAGGCAACATGAAATCCCAGTGTATTTCAAACCTATGAACACTCTAAGACAGAAACTGATCCAAAGAACAAAACACCGAGACCCAAACAAAGCAATGTGGTCTCCTCCATTCAGTGTGGTGAAAACTGCAGTGAACGAGACACTTCACAAGAACCAACACAGACGAGAGAGCAACACAGGACATCTCCACCTAAAAGGACCTCAGTCCGCTGTGCATCTGTACCTAAAAACCTTGGGCCACTCCTTTGAGGACAGTGAGGTACAGATTTGAGCCAGAGAAAAGAAAATAAACTTTTGTCCAGGTGAAAAATTCAATTTCTCCTTTTGCCAAACACGACAGTGTCTTTCTTCTCTTACCCCTCCACAATGTGAAAGATCACGCTGATCACGCTGTTCTGTCGACTTCTGTTCTCCAAATAGTCAACTTGGTCTTCCAGGAATTAAACTCTTTTGATCAGATCTTTCACTTTTTTATCAGTACTTCTCAAGTTGTCCTCAGCTGCACTCATGTGTATTTGCATCACGGTGATCTGTTTAGTTAGTTCACTGAGCCGTTCACTTGTGTCATCTGCACGTCAAGACCATTTCATCTCAGCAATAGTTCATTTTGATTTTGATTGAGTTTTTCCCACTTGACTGAAGCAGTTAGCAACGTTAGCAACGCACTTATGGTTGTTAATTGTTCTCTCCAAACTAGTTTTTTCGATTAACATGTGGCAATGATGATATATTTTTTACACCGTCTTCTATCCACATCTTTGTTGTGTTAAATCACTCTGTAGAAGTCACAAGAAAACACATATGTGCATTTAAGCCGACAGGGGCTGTGCTGCTCTACACACGTCAAAAATTAAATATCATATACATTTATGAACAGCCTAAACCGGGTTAAATGTTACTGATGTAAAGATTTCCATAATATGTCTGTTTTACTCTTGGCTCTTTGTTCTGTTCTTTTATGGACCATGATCTGGAATAAATAAATGATGATGAGTTTCTTGTTTGACAGGGAGCCAGGCCCAAAGGAGCAGCTGGACGCCATATTCAGGGTGAGTACCTCACAAGTGCAGCATGTGTGGGGTTCTCTGGGTGCTCCTCAGGTTTTCTCTTTGACTAAAACTCTTCTCTTTTGTTCTGTTCCAGCGTCTGGAGGAGGACGTCCTGACTTTTGTCAAAGAGCAGCTGCAGAGGCTCCACAGGCTCCTGGCCTCAGATTACCCAGAATGCTCCGAGAGTGAGGAGGAGGAGAGCAGAGAGGTTCTGAACATCACCCTGGACTTCCTGAAGAGGATGGACCAGGAACATCTGGCCCAGCACCTGCTCAACAGTAAGAACCTCCAGATGCCCTTCCATCCTCCTGTATCCCCGTGTGTCCAGGTGCCTCCCCGTGTGTCATGCCCCTCCCCGTGTGTCAGGTGCCCTCCCCGTGTGTCAGGTGCCCTCCCGTGTGTCAGGTGCCCTCCCTGTGTGTCAGGTGCCCTCCCTGTGTGTCAGATTTCCTCCTGTATGAAATATGTGACATGTTTGACATTCTAACTCTTGTGTGTTGTTTAAAGGGAGTAAAGTTGGATTCAGAGATAAACTGAAGTGTGATCTGCAGCAGAGGTTCAGTCGTGTGTTTGAGGGCGTGGCTAAAGCAGGAGACTCCGCCCCCCTGACCCAGATCTACACAGAGCTCTACATCACAGAGGGCGGAGCCTCAGAGGTCAACCAGGAACATGAGGTCAGACACGTGGAGACAGTGTCCAGGAGACCGGCCGCTCCAGAGACCATCACATGTGAAGAGCTCTTTAAACCCCGCCCACATTCACCACAGCCAATCAGATTAGTGCTGACGAAGGGCGTGGCCGGCGTGGGGAAAACAGTGCTGACTCAGAAGTTCGGTCTGGACTGGGCTGAAGGCCGGGCCCACCAGGACCTCCAGCTGCTGTTCCCCTTCACTTTCAGAGATCTGAACGTGCTCAGAGACACACAGTTCAGCCTGGTGGAGCTGCTGCACCACTTCTTCAGTCCATCCAAAGATCTCTGCAGCTTCCAACAGCTCCAGGTGCTCTTCATCTTTGACGGTCTGGACGAGTGCAGACTTCCTCTGGACTTCGGCCGAACCCGGGTCCTGAGCGACCCCACAGAGTCCGCCTCAGTGCACGTGCTGCTGGTGAACCTCATCAGGGGGAGCCTGCTTCCCTCCGCTCTCCTCTGGATAACCACGCGCCCCGCCGCGGCCAATCAGATCCCTGCTGAGTGCGTCTCCATGGTGACAGAGGTGCGAGGGTTCACCGACCCGCAGAAGGAGCAATACTTCAGGAAGAGGTTCATAGACCAGGCCACAGTCGTCATCTCCCACATCAAGAGCGTCCGCAGCCTCCACATCATGAGCCACATCCCGATCTTTCTGCTGGATCCTCTCCAAGGTTCTACGGAAGCTTCTGGAACAAACAGAACCAGAGCTGCCCCGGACTCTCACACAGATGTACGTCCACTTCCTGGTGGTGCAGGCCAAAGTCCAGAACATCAAGTATCACCAGGGATCAGGGGAGGACCTTCACTGGACTGAAGAAACCAAGAAGATGGTGAAGTCTCTGGGAAAAGTGGCCTTTGAGCAGCTGCAGAAAGGAAACCTGATCTTCTACGAGAGTGACCTGAGCGAGTGTGGGCTGGACGCTGCAGCGGCCTCAGTGTACTCCGGAGTGTTCACACAGGTCTTTAGAGAGGAGCCAGGCCTGTACCAGGACAAGGTCTACTGCTTCATCCATCTGAGTGTGCAGGAGTTTCTGGCTGCTCTTCACGTCCATCAGACCTTCTACAGCTCTGGAGAGAACCTGCTGGAGACACCACACTCCTCTGAGAGTCCAGACCCTGAGGCCTTCTACCGCTCTGCTGTGGACCAGGCCTTACAGAGTCCAAACGGACACCTGGACCTGTTCCTGCGCTTCCTCCTGGGGCTGTCTCTGTCGACCAATCAGAGGCTCCTTCAGGGTCTGCTGACTCACACAGGAAGTGACCCGACCAATCAGGAGACAGTAAAGTTCATCAAACAGAAGCTGGATGAAGAGGGTCTGTCTGCAGAGAGAAGTCTGAACCTGTTCCACTGTCTGAACGAGCTCAACGATGGCAGTTTGGTGCAGGAGATACAGAAGAACATGAGAAGATACCTCTCTGATAGAACCTTGTCTCGTGCTCAGTGGTCTGCTCTGTCCTTCGTCTTACTGTCCTCAGACTCAGACCTGGAGGAGTTTGACCTGAGGAAATACCAGGGCTCAGAGAACGCTCTCCTGGGTCTGCTGCCGGTGGTCAGAGTCTCCACCAAAGCCCTGTGAGTCCAGACTGTATTTAAACTCTTGTGTGGAGGTTCTAGTCTCTAATGTCCCTCTCTGTCCTCAGACTGTATTTAAACTCTTGTGTGGAGGTTCTAGTCTCTAATGTCCCTCTCTGTCCTCAGACTGTATTTAAACTCTTGTGTGGAGGTTCTAGTCTCTAATGTCCCTCTCTGTCCTCAGACTGTATTTTAAACTCTTGTGTGGAGGTTCTAGTCTCTAATGTCCCTCTCTGTCCCTCAGTCTTTGTGGCTGTGGTCTGTCTCCTCACAGCTGTGCTCCTCTGGCCTCAGTCCTCAGCTCCTCCAGTCTCACACATCTGGATCTCAGTCACAACGACCTCCAGGACTCAGGAGTGGAGCTGCTGTGTTCTGGACTGAAGAGCGCCCCCTGCAGACTGGACGCTCAGGTGAGACGCTCCCATGATGCACTCTGCCCCCTTGTGTCCACATGAGTGTAATGCTGTGTGTCTTTAGGCTGTCTGGATGTCTGGTCTCAGAGAGGGGCGGGGCTGCTCTGGCCTCAGCTCTGAGCTCCGCCCCCTCCCACCTCAGAGAGTTGGACCTGAGCTACAACCATCCAGGACCCTCCGCCGAGTCCTGACCGCTCTACAGGACCAGCGCCCCCTGCTGTCTGTCAGGTGAGACTTGCCTCTGGTCCTGGTCCTGGTCTGGTCTGGTCCTGGTCCTGGTCCTGGTCTGGTCCTGGTCTGGTCTGGTCTGGGTCCTGGTTGGTCCTGGTCGGTCTAAACTGGACTTGTGTGTTTCAGGTTGGATCCTGTGAGAGCGCTGGATGTTCCAGGTCTGAGGAAGTGTGAGTTTGTTTTGTTTCCTTCACACAGTAAAGTGCAGAGAACAGCTCAGGTCATTCAGGTATTCACTCAGGTCATTCACTCAGGTCAATCACAGGTCATTCACTCAAGGTCATCCACTCAGGTCATTCACTCAGGT